AGCTGCATGTAAGAGAAGTACAGGGGAAAAAAGAGAAGGAAAGAGAAGACATCCCCAAAAGAAGAAACACATAAGGAAGAAGTGAGTGTTCAATTTCTTCACTTTTCAGAACAGAAGAGGCCTAAGTGTACCCACAAATACACTGAAATCTTTCTTTCTGCACCCAATCAGTCAAGAATATGATATATCCTATCAGAATGTGTGGCTTACCACAGCAGTGATTTACAAACAAAGATTTTTATTTATTTATTTTTTAATTTATTTGAGAGAGAGAGAATGAGCAGGGAGAGCAGCAGAGGGAGAGGGAGAAGCAGGGAGCCTGATGCAGAGCTCAATCCCAGGATACTGGGATCATGACCTGAGCTGAAGGCAGATGCCCAATCAACTGAGCTACCCAGGTGCCCCTCAAAGTGGAATTGTTAAATCCAGCTATATGTTTATTAACAAGAGATAAACTTCAAATATAAGTTGCAAAATATAGAAAAAAATAAACAGGGCAAGTTTATTTGAAAATGAAATAAATACAGCAATATTAATATCAGACAAAAAAAGATCTTAAGAAGAAACTATCAGATATAAGGTAGAAGCTGACACTGATACTAGGGGACCTGAAATGCTCTCATTATTCTCTGGATAGGATGGGAGCTTAAAGGAAGCCAGAATAATACATGGAATTCTGGCCAAGTCCATCTGACAATGGGTCCAAATGTTCCATGGACCTACCACGTGACCACATTTACCCAGTCCCTGGGTAAAAACTAGGTTGGAATACTCAACATCTGACAGAAACCTTATATGGTATCCCATTCCAATAAAAATGCAATACAGGAACTGGTGGTCTTTTTGAATATTGGAGGCCATATTATATATATAATACTGAAATACTGTCTTTACCCACTTATAAAGAGATTAAAAAAGCACAGTTTTTAAAATGTTTTTATTTCAATTACAGTTAGTTAACATACAGTGTTATATTAGTTTCAGGTGTATAATGTAGTGATTCAACACTTCCATACATTACCTGGTGCTCATCACAAGTGCATTCCTTAATCCCCATCACTTATTTAATCCATCTCCCCACCCAACTCCATGCTGGTAACTATCAGTTTGTTCTCTGTAGTCAAGACTCTGTTTCTTGGTTTGCCTCTCTCTTTTTTTATCCCTTTGCTCATTTATTTTTTTTCTTACATTTCACATATGGGTGAAATATATGGTATTTGTCTTTCTCGGATCATTTCACTTAGCATAATACTCTCTTAGCTCCATCCATGTCATTACAAATGGCAAGATTTAATTCTTTTTTATGACTGAGTATATGTACATGCCACATCTTCTTTACCATTCATCTATCAGTGGACACCTGGGCTATTTCTATGATTTGGATTTTGTAGATAATGCTGTTATAAACATCCGAGTGCATGTACCCCTTTGAACTAGTATTTTTGTATTTTGGGGGTAAATACCTAGTAGTACAATTGTTAGATCATAAGGTAGTTTTATTGACTTTTTGAGGAAACTCTATTCCCTTTTCCAGAGTGGCTGCACCAGTTTGTGCTCCCCCCAACAATGCAAGAGGGTTCCCCTTTCTCCACATCTTTGAAAACATCTGTTGTTTCTTGTGTTGTTGATTTTAGCCATTCTGACAGGTAAAATGTGGTAGATACAGTAGTTTTGATTTGCATTTCCCTGATGATAAGTGATGTTGAGCATCTTTTCCTGTGCCAGCTGTCTGTATGTCTTCTTTGGAAAAATGTCTATTCATGTCTTCTGCCCATATTTTAATTGGATCATTCAGTTTTTGGGTGTTGAGTTTTATAAGCTCTTTATATATTTTGGATACTAACCCTTTATTGGAGATGCCATTTGCAAATATCTCTTCCCAATCAGTAGGTTGCTTTTTAGTTTTGGTGATTATTTCCTTCTCTGTGCAGAAGCTTTTTATTTATTTGTTAGTTTGTTTATTTATATCATTTTTTAGAGAGGGTAGAGAGATGGGGGAAGGGTAGAGGGACAGGGAGAGAGAGAATCTTGAGGGCTCAATCTCACAACCCTGAGATCATGACCTGAGCTAAAATCAAGAGTTGGACACTTAATCCACGGAGCCACACAGGCGTCTCAAAGCTTTTTATTTTGATGCAGTCCCAAAAGTTTATTTTTCACTTTGTTTTCTTTGTCTCAGGATACATATCTAGAAAGAAGTTTCTACAGCCAATGTCAAAGAGGTTACTGCCTGTGTTCTCTTCTAGGATTTTTATGTTTTAGGTTTCATATGAGGTCTTTCATCCATTTGGAATTTCATTTTGTGTATGGTGTAAGAAAGTGGTCTAGCTCCATTCTTTTGCATGTTGCTGTCTAGTTTTCCCAACACCATTTGTAGAAGAGACTGTCCTTAGCCCATTGCATATTCTTTCCTGCTTCTTTGAAGATTAATTGGCCATATAGATGTAGGTTTGTTTCTGGGTTTTCTATTGTGTTCCTTTGATCTATGTTTCTATTTTTGTGCCAGTACTATACTGTTTTGATCACTTTATAATATAACATGATGTCCAGAATTGTGATGCCTCCAGCTTTGCTTTTCTTTTTCAAGATTGCTTTGGCTATTTGGAGTCTTTTGTGGTTCCATACAAACTTTAGGATTGTTTGTTCTACCTCTGTGAAAAGTGCTGGTGGTATTTTGATAGGGAATGCAAATGTGTAGATTGCTTTGGGCAGTATAGACATTTTAACAATATTTGTTCTTGGCTTGGAATGTCTTTCCATTTCTTTGTGTTATCTTCAATTTCTTTAACAAATGTTTTATAGTTTTTAGAGTAGAGGTCTTTCACCTCTTTGATTAGGTTTATTTTTAGGTAACTTATGGGTTTTGGTGCAATTATAAATGGTGTTGATTCCTAAATTTCTCTTTCTGCTGCTTCATTACTGGTGTATATAAATGCAACAGATTTCTGTATGTTGATTTTGTATACTGCAACTTTACTGAATTCATGTATTAGTTGTAGCAGTGTTTTGGTGGAATCTTTCAGGTTTTCTATATATAGTATCATGTCATCTGCAAATAGTGAAAGTTTGACTTCTTCCTTGCTGATTGGGATGTATTTTATTTATTTATTTATTTATTTATTTATTTATTTATTTATTTTGTATTTTATTTATTTTTGTTGTCTGATTGCTGAGGCTAGGACTTCCAGTACTATGTTAAATAACAGTGGTGAGAGTAGACATCCCTGTCTTGTTCCTGACCATGGAAAAAAAGCTCTCAGTTTTTCCCTTTGAGGATGATGTTAGCTGTGGGTTTTTCATATATGGCCTTTATGATGTTGAGGTATATTCATTCAAAACCTACTTTGTTGAGGGTTTTTATTATGAGTGGATGTTGTACTTTGTCAAGTGCTTTTTCTGCATCTGTTGAAATGATCATATGGTTCTCATCTTTTCTTTTATTAATGTGATGTATCACGTTGATTTGTTTGTGAATATTGAACCACGTTTGCAACCCAGGGATAAATCCCACTTGGTCATGGTGAACAATTTTTTCAAATATATTGTTGGATTCATTTTGCTAGTATTTTATTGAGAATTTTTGCATCTGTTTTTCTCAGGGATATTGGACTTTTGTTGTCTTTTTTTTAGTGGTGCCTTTATTTGGTTTTGGGATCAGGATAATGCTGGTTTCATAGAATGATTTTAGAAGTTTCTCTTCCTTTTCTATTTCTTGGACTAGTTTGAGAAAAATAGGTATTAATTCTTCTTAACTACCCTACTATCCAGATTTGCACTGCTAGATATTTACCCAAAGAATACAAAAATACTATTTCAATGGGATATGTACACCCCGATGTTTATAGTAGCATTATCTACAATAGCCAAATCATGGAAAAAGCCCTAGTGTCCATGTACTGATGAATGTATAAAGAAGATGTGATATCTAGGGACACCTGGGTGGCTCAGGCAGTTAAGTGTCTGCCTTCAGGTTAGGTCATGATCCCCAGTGTCCTGGGATTGAGTCCCATATTGGGCTTCTTGCTCAGCAGGGACCCTGCTTCTCCCTCTGCCTGCTGCTCCCTCTGCTTGTGCCCTCTCTCTCTGATAAATGAATAAAGTCTTTTCTTAAAAAAAGAAGATGTGTTATGTATATGTATATGTATATGTATGTGTATATGCAGACACAATGGAATGTTACTGAGCCATAAGAAAGAATTAAATACTGCCTTTTGGAAGAACATGGATGAAGCTAGAGAGTATTGTGCTAAGTGAAATAAGTCAGAGAAAGACAAATACCATATTATTTCACACACATGTGGAATTTAAGGGAAAAAAAAAACAAGCAAAGGGACAAAAAAAGAGAGGCAAACCAAGAAACTGACTCTTAACTACAGAGAACAAACTGATGGTTACGAGAATAGAGGTGGGTGTGCGGGGATGTGTTAAATAGGTGATGGGGATTAAGGAATACACTTGTTGTCATGAGTACTAAATGTTGTATGGATGTGTTAATCAGTATATTGTACACCTGAAACTAATATTCACTGTGTATTAACTAACTGGAATTGAAATAAAAATGTAAGAAAACATAGGCTATTATTTCCACTTTACAAAGGAAACAAAGACAGAAAAATGTTATATACTTGTTGAAGTTCACAATTCTAGTAAGTGTTTAAACTAGGATTTGAACCAGGCAATTGGATTTAGACCCCATGCTCTTAATCAGTACACTGTATTTCCTTTATCTGTACTAATGGAATGCAATTTGCAGAACAATATATACAATATGATTCCATCATGTATTGAGTGTGTAGTATGTGTCAGACAACTTTCTAATACTTTACATACACTAATTTAACCACCATAGCATCTCTATAAAACAAATATTGTAATTTCTATTTCATCTATGATAAAACAGAGGCACAGAGAAGTTAGGTATGATGCTCTATATTACACAGTTGTAAATAGTATAGTCTGGGTTTGAACCCAGGCAGTCTTGCTTCAAAGCATGTTTACTTGTACTCACTTCAACAGCACATACACTAAAATTGGAACAATACAGAGAAGATTTTACCATGGCCCCTGTGCAAGGATGACATGCAAATTCATGAAGCATTCTATATATTTGTTTAAAAGCAGCCTTTGTACTTAACTTCCTATTATAAGTGACTTCTTTTATAACTGACTTAATAAATGTCATCATGTTTGTGAAAAAATGATACAGATCAAAATGTTAATAGCAGTTTCCTCTGGGAGGAAGCTTGCAGAGAGAAGGTGAAGATGTAATTTTACTTTTTACTCTCTATATTTTTGTATGGTCTGACTTCTACAATGTTCATGAATTCATGTATTATTTGCATGATCAAAAATAAATAAGTCATGCACATTGTTAGAGCTTGGAGTTGAGGCCACTAGCTGGCTGATGAACTCACAAATGTACATAGTATGCTACATGAGGGGCAAGTCTTTCACTAACACAAGGGTCTCTGGCCCAATGAGTGGAATTTGATAGTAATTCTTGCTATCAGTAAAAAGATAAAAATAAAATAAAATAAATAAAAAATAAGTCACACACATAAAAGGACAAGAAAAAATTTACTACCTTCTTTATAATATATTTTTTTCCAAACTTTTAAGTGCCTGGTCCATTCTTTAGAATGATTTTGAACTCAGATACAAACTGTCAAAGTAGACTTGGAAGCATAAACAAAAATCTACATAGTTGATACTTTCAGCTATGATTATCAATAGAGTTCTTGTTTTACAAATAATTACTTCAAAATAATTATCACAAACATCCCATATAATAGGTTAATTCAAATTTTGTGTATCATACTAACCAATTTCTTTTAGGTTGTCAAAGACATCCTCTTGTAACAAATAGTGCATTAATTTAGCTTGGCACCCAAAGTAACAGCTCACAGCAAAACGAGAAAATAAGTCACAATCTCACACCAGAAAGATAATGAAAATAACTGTAAAAAGTAGGTCTTCTACCACTGCTACAACAAACGAATATTAAAAGAAAATGGAAATTGCAAATTGTCCCTAACCTAGACTCCTTCATTGGTTATGCCCCATCTCCTTTGCCTCTCTCACTCCTATATCCAAACTCTAGCAGTCTCCTGTCCTAAATATCTTTGCCTTTCACTGTCATTTTCATTTTTGTATTGCTGCAGCTGCTCCCAATCTTGCCCCTTTCAAATCCACTTGACATGTTAGATTGATCCACCTTTCACACCAATAGCTAAATCCTTCAGTGGTATCTAATCATCCATGGGTTAATAATAAAAGATACAATTTATTGAGTATCTCATAAGTGAAAGATGCTCTTAGGCAACATCTGCACTCATTTAATCTTCACAGTAAATCTCCAAGTTATGATTTCTTTTTTATAAAATAAGAAACAGCCTTGAAAAGACTAAAAGTCAAAATCTGATATGAAACCTGAAGGTTTATGTGTTTTTTTCCTGTTTTATTCCTCAGTTTCTATTCCTCCAACTTGCTCCCAAAGTTCCAATTACTACATTGCTTCATGACTGTTCCTTCTACCTAAACTTCTCCATTCTTACAATTTCCTGGCATACTACACATCTTTCAGATTTCTGATTAGCTCTCACTTCTTCAGGGATACCTGCCTTGACCCAGCTAGCCTGGTTTAGATTTCTCTACATTGCATTTACCTCACTTTATCAGATATCACTCTGAGTAACTTGAAGGTAAATGCTTTGTCTTATTCATATTGATGTGCTTGTTCCTAAACATCATGCAAGCTGTCTGACACTTATCATCAATAATAATTATTATCATTTTCTCAACTACTGACATATCAGATCATGTGCCAAATACTGTTACATACTCAATTCATTTAATCCTCACCATGATGTTGTCAGAAAGGCATCACCATTCACATTCTAATGATTGAGAAAATGGCATTCAGAAGGAAGTAACTTGCTAAAGATCCACAATTATTTAGATGTGGAGCCATGGAATCCAAATTTGCCTAGCACAAAAACTGGTGCTGAGGTTCTTTAGTCCTTTACTGTCAATTTCCAGGGCTCATTTTTGACAAATCCAAAAAATCTTGTAATTATTATTGCTATCTTCAACTACTTGAAAATAAAGGCTAGAATAATGAGCTACAAATGTATTGAAGAAGAAATGGACATTAAAGCATGAGGTCATCTTTTTACACGGGATGGAGGGAGGAAGTGCTAGGAGAGTTAGCCTCTATTGCACCCACTATCACATAAACCAAAATGTCAACTCCCAGACAGAAAGCATGTTGTCCTCAAAAAGTGAGGGGCACCTGAGAGAGAAAGGAGGCACTTCCCTGGGCTAAGAAAAAACGCATCAAAGTTGCTTTGGTGGTCCCCTCCCTCCAAGTAAGCACTGGCACCATTTACTCTGTCCTTACAAACTTAGGCAATACAAATTTTACTTTACCTGTTTCTTTACTCATCACGTTGTATTTTGGTCATTTTGTTCCCCAGTGTCTCAGTCCCTCATTCTCAGCTGCTGTTGCTAGACACAAAAGCTCAAGCTTACCACCATTCCCAAGCAGGGAGATGGGAGAAGCAGGAAGAATATGGAGTCCATTAGTTCTTCCATCCAGTCCTCCCCTACACCTTGCAGATGAGGAGAGAAAAGGCAGTTTAACAGTTTAACACCCCAGAGTTCTTCCCCTCCCCCCAGGCCGGCAGTCACCAGGCAGCGGCTTCCTGCGCCACAAGGGCACGAGTTTCCCAGCCAATCCAGAGTGCCCAGGCCGATGGCCCTTAGCAACAGTCTTGGAAAAGGGCAGGGCCCAGCTTTGGGACTTTGCATAGCTCAGCCTGAAGCAGTAGCGAAGTGATTGATTCTGGGTTACTTCTCCAAAGTAGCCTTGTAATGGAAATAATGAGCTCCATTAAAGTCTATTATACCAGCGTGTCAGGGTCCAGGGAGGTGAGTGAAAAGAAAAGGGCCTTAGAGGGCAAAAAAGACTAGAGTGAAGGCACTCTAGTCGGGGACTTCAGGGTTGTGCTAAGAGGTTACCATCCCCATATTGCCTTTCATTCTTCAGCATCCTCCTCTCAGGTTTTCAGGGATGGGGGGTACAGGGGAGAACAGAAAATGTGGTTATTGCCCTCACCCAGGTTGTGCTAGAAGAACTAACCGGTTTTGTTGGTCTGGGAGGTTTCTGGGTCCTGAGCTCAGCCAACTTAAGTATTTCTAATACATTTGCACTTGTTTCAAATGGAAGAGATAAAGAACGCTGTTTTTTAGGATGTTTAGGATGGGAGATGGAAGAGATAACACTGTTTGGGATAGGAGATGGAAAATGTCAGTGAGTAAATGGCCCAAATCCTCAGAGAAGACTGGTAGCCCCCAAAAAGCAAACTGGTAATTTCTAAGAAGAACATGTATTTGCATAGATCAGGCATGTCTTAGATTACAGTTTAGATAAATTATTTTGACCACGTTGTAGGAAATATTGTATAACAGTAGTTTCCAACAGCAATATATTGTAAGCCACATACGTAATCTTAAATTTTCTAGTAATGACTTAAAAAAAGATGAGATTAATTTTAATATACTTTACTTAACACAAAATATACAAAATTTTATCACTGCAACATATAATCAATATCTAAAAAGAGATTATATATATTATTTTCTTATTAAGTCCTCAAAGTCCAGTATGCATATTGTACTTACAGAGAATTTTATTTTGGACTAGCCACACTTCAGGTACTCAATAGTCTCATGTGGCTGGCTAATGGTTATCACATTAGACAGCTTAGCTATAGAAGGACCATTATATGGCTAAGAACCTCATTCTGCAAAAGTTTTGGAGAAGCATGAAAACTGAAGAATTTGGAATTGATTATAAATGGTTAACATTCATCACACTCCTTCTGTGTGTCAAGACACCATGATAGATGCAGGGAGCAATGAATGAGATTTGATCTCAGCCTAGAAAGAGTACATTGCTTTTGCAGAAAGCTTTATCAACTAGATTAGGGATTTCACCCAGATACTAAGAAACAACAATAACAAGAAGCAGTTTTAAAAAGAAAATTATGGGCCTTTTGACTATTTTTTTAACATTGTGATTTATGTATCAGATATAGTACTAAGAGTCTGTAGGAGGGAATGATTTAGAATCAACAAGGACCACAATGGATGCAGCAGAAGACTCACCCAACTCTTGGTCTGTTTTTCTCAAACTGTAACATGAAATTCATCTGGAGGGCTTGTTAAAACATTCCTGGGAGCCACTCCCAGATTCTGTAGTTTTGGGGTGGGATAAGGTTGGTGCTGCTGGTCTTATGAACCACATTCAGTCTAGCACTGGTCTAAGTAACTGTTCTCTTAATGAGGTTCCTCTGAGAAAGTTTTGAAAAAACACTATAAAAATGTGACAAATCACATGAACCATCGCAATTTTAAAAACTAATGAGCCTCAGAAAGTAGAAATGTTGCATAATGGAATTTCAGAAACTTCTCAGCTATCAGTTGCAAATAGACAGGGTTTTCCACCCATGACTGGATTACATTTTTAAGTCATCAAACAAAAAGCTTTCTGCCATGCACTTTTGCAGAAATCATACTTGAATAAGCTGGGGTTTGTACTTGTCAAATTGCTTTCACATATGTTTTCTCATTCTAGTATCAGATATTTTATGTGACAAAATTGCCTAAGATTGTCATGTGAAAAATGTAGAAAACTCAAATTTTAAGATTTATGTTATAGTTATTAACAAAAAAATTATAGTTATAAAATATGCTTAAAAGATAACCAATTATTACAATTTTACTTTAGCAGTAGTGTTTCAGAGGAAAAGACAATGTGGGGATATACAGTCTTTTAGCAGATAATACAAATCTTACAGTTCCTATAAGAGGATATAGGAAGAACTGGTGACTTTTATTCACTTACATTATTTATAAATCTTAATTGTCTGAAGTACTTTATTTTCTCATTCTGTGGATTTTATCTCTGTACTTAGGCCTTGTCTCTGATTATGGTTTAGAACATGTAGTATGTTCCTTCAAATGTAAAAACCTGGTATCATGTCCATTTCCTACCATAGATATTAGCATAAATTAATGTAATGATGAGCTGAAAAGTGTGCTTCAACTGTTAGCAGAATGTTCATACCACTTCATGTGCAGTATGAAATCAATATGGCAAATATTTATAGCCCATTAGAGATTTTTAGTTCCTACTGATACTTTACTGTATTTCTTCATATACATATTAAACATATTTACATATTACATATATACTATATATGTGTGTATGTGTTTATCATAAGAAAATTACCTAATTTTTGCTCCTCAAAGAAACATCACACCATTAAAAGCTATTCCTCTTCCATAGCATAATGAATGGGCAAAACAAAACATAAACCATTAGGGTCAGTTGATTAACATCATTCCATCTCTCTATATTTTTGTCTATCTAGGTGAAGCAGAGACAGGAAGAAGTTACCAGAATTTTAGATATTTACAAAATAAAGTATGAGTTAATAGATATTTCTGTCAGTTTGAAAGTACTTCAAGAAATGAGGATGAAAGTTTCCACCCCTAAGGCTCTACCACCTCAGATATTCAACGGTCAAGAATATTGTGGAGTAAGAGTAATATCCATTTATTTTATTTTATTTTATTTATTTTATTTTATTTTATTATTTTAATTTTCATGTCTTAAGGTCGTATGCATGGGGAAACAATACATTTATGGGCTGTGAGGGCCAGCGTTCTTCATTTATACAATAACTTAATTATGGTCCTGAAGATAAGGCAATGTGTACTTCATTATGAAAAAAATATCATAAAAGGAAAATATATCATGCTGCCTGTTTTGAGATACACAGTATTTTTCATCATACATTATAGTATGAAATGACTGATACCAGTGGGAATTTTTTTTTTTTTATCTAACTTAGCTGGCAGATTTTTGCAAAGGCCCAGACAAGATGATTAGCAAACTTACTAGACACTTGAACTTAATGATTTCATAAGTGGAAATAATCAGCATTGTTATTACAAGTTAATTTTAATTCCTTTTAGGATTTTGAAATGTTTCACAAGGCAAAGGAGAACAAAGAGATTCTGAAATTCCTGAAGATGGAATGAATGTGCAGTGATGATACAAAAGATGTTTACTGAGATGGATCGGCAAATACTTCCATAAACATTGGTTACTTTTAATTATAACAATAGAAGTATTTCATTAAAGTTAATTGATATCTAGATTAATTTGCAATCACTAGCATGGGGGCTTTTACAATTTCAATTTTGCATTAAAATTATTTCTCTTTTACAGAGTGAACATTTTATAAAGCTGTGTAAAAAATTATTAAATTTCTATCAAGATCAAATTTTCTTTTAAGTCACTAGTAGCTGTCAATTTATAGGCATGAAATAGACTTTTAGTGCAATTTTCAATTAACTTTCAGCTTTATTTTTAAATGTTTCTCAGTACACTTTTAAAGAGTTTATATACTGTACTGGGGCCATTTAAAGATTTTATTTATTTATTTTTGGAGAGACAAAGAGGGAGCATCAATGGGCAGAGGCAGAGGGAGAGAGTATCTCAAGCAGACTCCATGCTAAGTGTGGAGCCTCACACGGGGCTCAATCTCACAACCCTGAGATCATGACCTGAGCTGAAATCAGTTGGAAGCTTAACTGAGTGAGCCACCCAGGCGCCTCTATTTTAAAAAAGAAAAGAAAAAAGCATATCACTGGGCCCCATTCTAAGTCTTCCTAAATGGAAATTGGGGAGAGAATAGGAATTTGTATTTTAACAGATTTCTCAGGTAATTTTTTTTTTGTACACAAAAGTCTGGGAAATGATATTAAAGAATAACAACTTCAGGTCACTCGTCTCTTTACCCCCACCGTTGATATAAAATGGCAGTCTTCTTCCAAATTACTCTACCTGTGATTTCTATCTTGTTGCATTGCATCCCCATCCACTCAAACCCCAAGTCAAAAAGCTGGGATTCGTCTATAATATCACCCACTCCCTCACTCTCATATGCAATCAATTACCAAACCCTACATGAGCTAGTCTTAATATCCCAGTTACCCCACAATTCTCTAGCTTTCCAGCTATTTACCTTTGTTCATGGCCTCATCACTCTTGCCTGTACTATTGCAGTAATATCTTAACTCCCTACTTACAGTTTTACTATTCTAATACCTGCCCTCTGCTCTTAAATCAGTCCTTTTCAACCTTTACTGAACTTTGTAAGGATCCCGAGGAACTTGAAAAACCATAATTTCTGGATCCTATCTTTCTTGCTTGCTTGCTTTCTTTCTTTCTTTCTTTCTTTCTTTCTTTCTTTCTTTCTTTCTTTCTTTTTTCTTTCTTTCTTTCTTTCCTATTTCATTTTTTCATTTAAATTTTAATTAGTTAACATCCAGTGCAACATTGGTTTCTGGAGTAGAACTCAGTGATTCATCACTTACATACAATGCCCAATGCTCATTACAAAAAGTGCTTTCTTAAATACCCATCACCCATCTATCCCATTCCCCACCCACTTCCCTCCATCAACCCTGTTTTCTCTCTATCTTTAAGAGTCACTTATGACTTGTTTCCTTCCCATTTTTTTCTTTTCCCCTTACCCATGTGTTCATCTATCTTCTTACTTAAATTCCACGTAAGAGTGAGCTCATATAGCATTTGCCTTTCTCTGACTGATGTATTTCACTTCGCATTATACTCTAACTCTGTCCCTGTCTTTGTAAAAGGCAAGATTTCATTCTTCTTTATGGCTGAATAATAACACATGCAAACACATCTTTGTGTGTCTGTGTGTGTTTTTTGTATCTCTGTTTTATTTTTTTAATTTAATTTTATTATATTAGTCACCATATAATACATCATTAGTTTTTTTTCTTCTCCTCTTTTCTTATTATGTTACGTTACCATACAGTACATCATGAGTTTTTGATGTAGTGTTCCATGATTCATCGTTTGCATATAACACCCAGTGCTACATGTAGTACATGCCCTCTTTAATACCCATCACCAGGCTAACCTATCCCCCCACCCCCCCTTCCCCTCTAGAACCCTCAGTTTGTTTCTCAGAGTCCATAGTCTCTCATGGTTCGTCTCCTCCTCCGATTTCCACCCTTGCATTTTTCCCTTCCTGCTATCTTCTTATTATTATTTTTATTTTCTTTTTTTTAACATATAATGTATTATTTGTTTCAGAGGTACAGGTCTGTGATTCAACAGTCTTGCACAATTCACAGCGCTCACCATAGCACATACCCTCCCCAATGCCTATCACCCAGCCACCCCATCCCTCCCACCCCCCACCACTCCAGCAACACTCTGTTTCCTGAGATTAAGAATTCCTCATATCAGCGAGGTCATATGATACATGTCTTTCTCTGACTGACTTATTTCGCTCAGCATAATACCCTTCGGTTCTATCCATGCCGTTGCAAATGGCAAGATTTCATTCTTTTTGATGGCTCCATAATATCATAATATTCCATTTTATATACCACATCTTCTTTATCTATTCATCTATCAATGGACATCTTGGCTCTTTCCATACTTTGGCTATTGTGGACATTGCTGCTATAAACATCGGGGTACACGTACCCCTTCAGATCCCTACATTTGTATCTTTGGGGTAAATACTCAGTAGTGAAATTGCTTTGCAGTATGGTAGCTCTATTTTCAACGTTTTGAGGAACCTCCATACTGTTTTCCAGAGTGGCTGCACCAGATTGCGTTCCCACCAACAGTGAAGGAGGGTTCCCCTTTCTCTGCATCCCTGCCAACATCTGTCCTTTCCTGACTTGTTAATTTTAGCCATTCTGGCTCGTGAGAGGCAGTATCTCATTGAGGTTTTGATTTGGATTTCCCTGATGCCGAGCGATGTTGAGCAATTTTTCATGTGTCTGTTGGCCATTTGGATGTCTTCTTTGGAAAAATGTCTGTTCATGTCTTCTGCCCATTTCTTGATTGCAACATTTGTTCTTTGGGTGTTGAGTTTAAGAAGTTCTTTATAAATTTTGGATACTAGCCCTTATTCTGATATGTCATTTGCAAATATCTTCTCCCATTTTGTCGGTTGTCTTTTGGTATTGTTAACTGTTTCCTTTGCTGTGCAAAAAATTTTTATCTTGATGAGGTCCCAATAGTTCATTTTTGTCCTTGCTTCCCTTGCCTTTGGTGATGTTTCTAGGAAGAAGTTGCTGCGGCTGAGGTCGAAGAGGTTGCTGCCTGTGTTCTCCTTTAGGATTTTGATGGACTCCTGTCTCACATTTAGGACTTTCAATCATGTTGAGTCTATTTTTGTGTGTGGTGTAAGGAACTGGTCCAGTTTCATTCTTCTACATGTGGCTGTCCAATTTTCCCAACACCATTTGTTGAAGAGACTGCCTTTTTGCCATTGTACATTCTTTCCTGCTTTGTCGAAGATTAGTTGACCAGAGAGTTGAGGGTCCATTTCTGGGCTCTCGATTCTGTTCCACTGATCTATGTGTCTGTTTTTGTGCCAGTACCATACTGTCTTAATGATGACAGCTTTGTAATAGAGCTTGAAGTATGGAATTGTGATGCTGCCAGCTTTGCTTTTCTTTTTCAACATTCCTCTGGCTATTTGGGGTCTTTTCTGGTTCCATACAAACTTTAGGATTATTTGTTCCATTTCTTTGAAAAAAGTGGATGGTATTTTGATGGGGATTGCATTGAATGTGTAGATTGCTCTAGGTAGCATTGACATCTTCACAATATTGTTCTTCCAATCCATGAGCATGGAAAGTTTTTCCATTTCTTTGTGTCTTCCTCAATTTCTTTCATGAGTATTTTATAGTTTTCTGAGTACAGATTCTTTGCCTCTTTGGTTAGATTTATTCCTAGGTATCTTATGGTTTTGGGTGCAATTATAAATGGGATGTGCTCCTTGATTTGTCTCTCTTCTGTCTTGTTGGTGTATAGGAATGCCACTGATTTCTGTGCATTGATTTTATATCCTGCCACTTTACTGAATTCCTGTATGAGTTCTAGCAGTTTTGGGGTGGATTCTTTTGGGTTTCCACATAAAGTATCATATCATCTTCAAACAGTGAGAGTTTGACTTCTTCTTTGCCAATTTGAATGCCTTTTATTTCTTTTTGTTTTCTGATTGCTGTGGCTAGGACTTCTAATACTATGTTGAATAGCAGTGGTGATAGTGGACATCCTTGCTGTGTTCCTGACCTTAGGGGGAAAGCTCTCCATTTTTCCCCATTGAGAATGATATTTGCTGTGGGTTTTTCAGAGATGGCTTTTATGATATTGAAGTATGTATCCTCTATCCCTATACTCTGAACAGTTTTGATCAAGAAAGGATGCTGTACTTTGTCAAATGCTTTTTCTGCATCTATTGAGAGGATCATATGGTTCTTGTTCTTTCTTTTGTTAATACATTGTATCACGGTGATTGATTTGCGGATGTTGAACCAAACTTGCAACCCAGGGATAAATTCCACTTGGTCGTGGTGAATAATCCTTTTAATGTACTGTTGGATCCTATTGGCTAGTATTTTGGTGAGAATTTTTGCATCCATGTTCATCAAGGATATTGGTCTGTAATTCTCCTTTTTGATGGGTTCTTTGTCTGGTTTGGGGATCAAGGTAATGCTGGCCTCAATAACGAGTTTGGAAGTTTTCCTTCCATTTCTATTTTTTGGAGCAGTTTCAGAAGAATAAGTATTAATTCTTCTTTAAATGTTTGGTAGAATTCCCCTGGGAAGCCATCTGGCCCTGGGCTTTTTTTGTTGGGAGATTTTTGATGACTGCTTCAATTTCCTTTCTGGTTATAGGTCTGTTCAGGTTTTCTATTTTCTTCCTTGTTCAGTTTTGGTAGTTAATACATCTCTAGGAATGGATCCATTTCTTCCAGATTATCAAATTTGCTTGCATATAGTTGTTCATAATATGTTCTTATAATTGTTGTATTTTTGGTGTTGGTTGTGATCTGTCCTCTTTCATTCATGATTTTATTTATTTGGGTCATTTCTCTTTTCTTTTTGATAAGTCTGGCTAGGGGCTTATCAATCTTGTTAATTCTTTCAAAGAACCAGCTCCTTGTTTCATTGATCTGTTCTACTGTTCTTTTGGTTTCTATTTCATTGATTTCTGTTCTGATTTTTATTATTTCCCT